ACATTTAAGACACACATAAGGAGCTGACTGCTGAAGAATCAGTGCTGCTGAATTTGGCTGCCCCACAGTATCTGACTGTAACTGCGCAGTTAAATGCAACCCCAATCTAAAGCTGAAATGAAGCCACCGTTTTCATTACATGACGTCTCAAATGAACACCGCACTGAAAGTTTATCTCAGGTAAGGCAGGCTGGTTTCCTGGTCTCCCTGGAAAAGAAAATAGTGTATATTGTTTACTTGAGTGTTTCCAGCCAGTGCATTCTGACTTTCTCTCTATGGCTAAGAAACACATCTGGGAATTTAACTTTGACAAATGCGGCTAAGCCTATTGGAACCGCTGTAAATCAGAACTGAAAAATAAACCAGAGTGGAAAAAAGATAACACTTCATAAGCTTAACTGCCTTAGCAGTGTTTATTGACCTTCCTTCCAGTGCTCGCTACTGGTCCACATGCTGCCTCCATATTAACCCTTATCCCACTGGAAGCCAGTGTGTTTTTCTTCCGTTTATGACCAGAAACTGTGTTATGGTATTTCAGGGGGTGGACTGCAACCAGTTCACAGTGGAGTCGTAAAAACTACAGTATACAACCTTTGTATAAAAATACCGGTTGCCTCATTTTCAAAACGTAACACTAGAAAGTAGATTAAGTACAAAGCTTTTACTTTTGCATATATTGAAGCATCACATTATTAATTCCAATGACGAAGTCAAAACACAATGTGCTTTGCTCCAGCATTTTTTTTTAAACACAGAATCTCACTTGTGTTCAGAAACTGGTCAACCTTTGAGGAAACTAAGGCATTTTTCACCGACCTGAAACTTTTGGAATAACCTGGATCACAATATCTTGCATACAAATGTTAAATAAAACAAGAAATTGTAAATGAAGATAAATTGTATTCCACATAGCACAATTTAGCATCTTGGCACAAAGTGTCTTTCAGTATTCATACAATAACATACCTGTACATTAGTTTTATCAGAGAATAATATCATTCTTAAAAATGTCTTAATTCTATTCCAAGACAGGAAGACGTGTCTTGAAGTTCTAAAAGCAAAATCAGGAATTTCAATACCCTCTTCCTAGAGAGTATGTATTTTAAATGTTTGTTTTGCTAGTATTGCAGTACTACTTCTGGTAAAAGCCTGGAAATGGGTTTTCACTTCAGTCATTGCTAAACCCTGTTCCAATATGCAAGGAAAACTACTGTTCCTTAACACACTATAAAAGGTTACAGTGTGCTGAGCCAAACATCAATTATCAAAGCACCTATTATCCAGAAAAACCACAGAGCACAGGAGTTAACAGCTAGTGACATACAAGGGATTTGCGAAAGATCCCTAATTTTGGGGTTAAAAGCAACCAAATCACACAACTGTAATCTCAGGAAATTAGCTAAGAGCTTCTTAAAATCTCTTAGTTCGCCCCTCAAGATGAAGATTTTAAAACCAAGCAAATTTTTTTAATGGAAAATTAAAGCTTTGTTATCTTGTTTTTAAAAGATTTTTTAAAACGCTTTTCCTGTAAGTCCTGAATGAATATACAGTGCTGCATTCTTAAAAATAAATGCCAGACTGATAAAAATAATTTTGGACCTGAAAACTGCACTACTTTTTTAACTGAATAACACTCTTCTGTTGCGTATTATTGTGAAATTTGGCGTGAAAGTATAAGCCACCTTGTGAACAGGACTTCGCTAAGAGAGGAAATGAGAGTTGCCAATTGGGTCATTTTTTTGCCTTTTATTCCAACTAAATGTCAGTGTTTGTGCTAGTGATAAGTTAATAGCCCTGTTTACATTTTATGGTTACTTTTCAAGTCTAAATAAAAGCCATAAGCCTTTATGTACATTTTAGTGCTTTACACATGACAGTGAGGCTTTTTATCCTAGTGCATTCCATTGTACTGGCAATTTAAGTGACATAATTTAAATCTTAAACTCAAATTAATTAATTATTTCATCTGTATTTAGTTCATATCTTCTTCCTACAGTACTAACGTGTTTATGTGGTGTATTTGTGTGTTGACCATGAAGCCAATTAGCAGAAACATTAATAGGACTAAATGCTGCAGAGTGGCTCTTGTGATACAAAAAATCAGTGGACTTGCAAAGGTGCAGTGTCAGTACCCTTTCAGAGTCTTGCTCTCAACCAAGCAAGCAAACCAAGGCCCCAGCTGCCCAGGTGTACTCAGCTTTATCAGCGCACAATTCTTTTAATACATGTGCAACTATTAGGCTGTTTCTCAAACAAAGGAAAATGTTAGGTCTCAAACCTAACCTGTTTCTCAAACAGCAGTGGACAACTAATAGGATAATTCTTGTATTTCTAACCCCTCAAGAAATTCAACTCAGTACTTCACGAATGCTACGATAAGTGTTTCCTCAGTCCTAAAACAAATAACATGAGAAATTCTGAATGACAAAATTTGGCCTGAAACTACACGTTGTTCAGAGTTGACCAGACTCCCTGCTGCAGTGAAATGTAGATGTGTGGGAGAATAGCTGAACTCATTCGGCAACAGGAGCTGTCCCTCCGAGCTCCTGATTGACAGCCTGCCTCGTCTCGCGCGTCAGCCTGCTGTTCGGAAAGTGCAGGCATGTGGTGGACTTCAGCAAAGTAATCAGTGCATTTTCACAGCTACTAGTAGGGTGCTAATTGGTAGACATTAGCTGCACCTTTAATGTCATTAGTCCAAAATTAATGGGATTACTATAGCTTGTTAATCAAATGTATTGCATTCTGCAAGCTAACATGAGTTAATGCAGAGCATATTCATTTTTTAGTCTGTTAATAGATTGTGTGCTATTATAACATTGATTTAAACTGTTCCTGTAGGAATCAGGTAACAGTTTACAGAGCTTTTAAAATAATATCTAGAGCTTGCAAAACAATGTATGTTGGAACTGGATTTTTGTGCAAATATGTTGGTGAAGAGAGCACGTCGATGCGTTTACAATGACAGAAAACGTAGCACTTCTCAGTGAAACATTTAAATTTGAAAATAATCTTAAATGCAAAACTTTAAGCAAATGATATCACAAGATTTGGTTTAGCTAATACCACATCCTGTTTAAAAAATGCTTTAGAAGGTTTCAAGAGGTTCTAATACTTTAGCTACGATTCCTTATTTCTAATGAGCCATTCTTCTTAGTACTGATGAAGCTTAACTTTTAACTCAAACTAAAACCCCACTGCCTTATTGATTGTCATCTCTACAGTACAAAATAATTAATCCATACAAGACACAAACTGGAAAAAGAATACCTAACATTTTAAAATAATCAAAAGATTTTTGTTTTGATGGTCAGTAAACACCTTTCAGATTTATGTTTGTTATGGTTTACTTAAGTTACAGTACATAATAAGAAATTGAGCTCAGTTGGGGCTCCTTATAAACATAGAATTGATTCCTAGGTTGGCCATTACTATTTCAGATATACAGAAACAATTTCCAAAAATTAAGGCTCTTCCAATGTAAATGGAATAGCATTGTGCTTCTCAGATCGAAATAGTTCCATGCTGTAATTAAGTGCATGCACATTTCTGTTTCAGCGATTCTTACCAGACTCTTCAGTAAACATAAAATAGTAATAGCCAGGTGCAGAACAGTCAAAAATTCCACCTGCAGTAAATTCACATACAGCAAGTCCTAGAGACAACACTTTGCCTGTGTATGAGGGGGTTGGGGTTGGAGAATATGGTTTGATACTGGCCCGTTTTGAGAGGAATTTGATTTGTTTCATCTCCTTGGTTTGGGCATGCAAACTTACTGTAAACTCACTAGTTTACAGGCTAAACCTTTTTCTCCATGTACGAGCTACTCTCTTAAAAGACGTGTTGCATTCTATGTACAGTCTTTAGAAACATGATATTCATTACAAATTTTAAGGAAAATGAATTATCACAAATTCTTAAACCTACATATTTAGGTTTTAGGGTGACATATTTAGATTTACAAAGTACATTTTTAAAAGTGACATAGCTGATAATAAACACAGAAATATGTCATTGTGATTGCATGACTGAAATACAGTCTTGAATCTAATTTGTCTAAAAGCAGTAGAAACTATTTTTGCTCCAACATATAGTAAATAATATAGTATATAAAATTTTATATATAAAAATGTTAACACATGTTCCAGATTTCCAGATTGGCTTTTTTGCAGTTATCTGTGATCTATAAAGAACTGTACAGACAAATCTAATTAATTTTTAATGATGTGAGAACACATTACAGTTTTGTGATACATTACTGCTTGCTTGGTCAGTAAAACTGCATTTGATCATTAAATGCTCTTTGCGAAGAACATTGTATAGGTCTGCTTTGCTAAGACTGTGCAGTGCATAAAAGATCACTTGAAAGTCATCTATTTATTTCCCTGCTAAATATGGTTTGGTAGGATACAAAGATGTTAAATTAAGTATATTGTTTTGCTACAGCCAACCTTTATTTTCGGAAGCTGGGTCTGAAACTTGACAGTGCTTGCTTTAGGCAGTCCAAAATTAAGCAAATAACTGTAACAGAATGGTTTCCATTCTAGTTAAACGTTAGCTGCAGGACCCTGTTGTCAGCTTATGACTTGAATGGCATAAACAGATTGATGATCTGTGTAGGTGACCCAGGTGCATAATATAATGTGGATGGTTCTGAATCATAGCCACCGCCACTATCCTGAAAGTGAGGCTTTATTGTGTTGTGCGTGGATAACCTACTCAAGAATGTGAGGATTTTAGCTAGTTCTGACCGTGAGCTTGCAGAGAGATGTCGAGCCCTTTTCTGAACCTGTCAAATAAGATTTAACTATTCCAAAGCACGCCTTTGCTTTTAACCATGTCATTTCAGCTAGCTGCCTAATCACTTTTAGCATTTTCTTTCTTGGTACTTTACATTTACTGAAGTAACTTTTGAACATTTCCGAACTGGTCGATTTGAAATACTGTACACGTTTCAGCGGTGGTAATATCGCCGTCGTTATCAGCTTGGATCTCCTTACCAGTTTGCCCTCTTTGCTCTCCTTTCTGTAGCTGAATCCCTGCTGCTCCATAGGCGTAGTGCTCCCCCCGGCTCTGCTCTCCAGGATGGCCGGAGACAGGGAGTAAAAAGGTGGACTGGGGCTCGGCGGGAGCCCGGAATCCGGACTGTCAAGCAACCCCTCGCGGGTCTTTCCTTTCAGGCTCTCATCCATCGCTTGCAAGTGTAGATGCCCCACCATTTCTGGGTAAAAACGCACTACAAAACTGAAGGAAACTCACTCCGGGCTTTGCTTTCCGTGTCAAGTCCTAGTGCAACCTGTTATTTATGAAAGACAAGTGTCGGAAAATCCCAAACAAAAGAGAGGGTAAATCCCTGGAGAATTCTCCTGCCGAAAAATAAAATAAAATGCGTTACTTTTTTTGTTTGAACAATAATTCCTGTAATTTGATACATATGTATACACTGAACAGCTACAGCTTGGATACTCATAAATATTACACTCACGGTAAGTACAGTAGCTGTCATTATACTGTTAAACGCTTACAAACCGGACAGCGCAATTAAAGATCATACTGTATCTATATGCCATGATTCTTGATAGATAAAAAATACGTCCAGTGGAAATACGATTGTAACATCTGTCCAAAAACCGTAACTATGCATCTGCAATGAAGAAGAGTAATTACATTTTAATATTTGCGCGTAAACGGGCGAATCTGCAGATCAAAGCAATTTTCCTTACCTTCTGGTTAACAACTGCAAAGGATCAACGTCTTTAAATAGACGGTCGCTTTTCCCAAGTACTTTTTAGATCATTTGAAAAGGCAAATCATCCATTAACTTGCAAGACGTTCGCGTATGAAGTGTCGTCCATAGAATCGCGTTAGAGCTACTGTATTGCACGTTATTCCAGTTTACACAACAAAGTAAAACCTTTAAATAACTGACATAGTCGTATTGAGAATTTTCATAAAGTTCGTTTCTCTTTATAGTAGTGGGAGCCTTTGCGCTGACTCCCTTCCACTGAAGTGAGCAGCCGGATCTCTGAGAGGTTTCTCTTAATGAGAGTGCCAGCTCTTTTTTTTCGTACCTGGAGCAAATCCAGCCCAGCGACTGGTTGGAACGATTCCAGATCTGGCCAGCAGGGTGAGCTCTCATATACATATACTGTACTTTTGCAGAGAAGCGCACTTCTGTTTTCAAACTTTTATTGAACATTTGAAACGCACTTGAAACTGAGCCCGTCTCTAGTTGCAGAACAGCATAGCTGGTAATTAATGCAAATGGTCTTTTCCACATTTTATTTCATGTTTATATTTCAAAGGCAGTGATATTCATTAAAGTTTTGAAAGACATGCATGTTACGGAGTGCAACAGGGTACTTTTGTCTTTTGATGCCTCCCTATTAAAGCTTTGTTTTGAATTTTTACATGTAAATTTACATTGCAGAGTTAAGGTCCTAAAGGAATGCAGCCTTGGCTACTATTTTTGGAGTGAAAGGCATGGCAGAATAATGTGTGCTGCTTTGCCTGGGAAAGTGTGCTGTGTCTGCGAGACCCCAGACCCCATTGCTGTCCCCCAGGGGTCCCAGGGCCACGGTCCGTCAGCTTCTTCTTTAGAGCAGGGGTCCTCAATCCCAGTTCTGCAGTACCACACACCTGCTGGTTCTTATTACAGCCCATCCTAACAACCTGATTGAAGCCTTAATTCAGCCAGCAAGCTGCTTGACTGGAATGTCTGCAGGTTTTCTTGGGCTCCGAAATTTGGGATTGCATTTTGCTAGTGAAATACAATAGTCAAAAGGCAACCTTCAACATGTTTAGGAGCTGAAAACTGTCAAACAGAGTTCAAATTAATCCTATTATTAAGTCAATTAAGAGTTCAGTTGTGTAACCGAGAGCTTGGATGGAACAAAAACCAGCAGGTGTGTGGTCCGGCACTAGAACTGGGAGCCCTGCTTTAGAATACACATGGAAAATTAGAGTCGAGTTTGAAAATGCAGAAATATGCGACCTGAAGTAGCAAACATTTCAAGTACATCACTCTTCAGTCCTGAACTTATTTTTCAAGTCCATTTTTTTTAACTCTGCCAAAAGAAAACCTGAGTCATCATAAATGTGCATTGCTTTCTCACCAGCCTGACGCAGACCTGAACAAGAAGAGTCTTTGTGAAGCGCATTTGAAATAACCCTGTGTTAGGGGTTCGAAAAGAAATATGTACCTGAACCGGGAGGAGAAGAGCGAAAAGTTCTTCTGGTCTTGGCTGCAAGCCATGTTTTGGACAATCACTACAGTATGAGAAGACTTTTCTTGAGTTCAGTGGTACATGAGTTTTTAAAAGAGGCCATACCTTATGTGTTGTAGTCAATTATGTTTGAAACAAGTCAAGGGAAGACTTGTCAGGGTCATAGAATTTCTGTATTCTTTAAATTTCTATTTTTCTGTAAAATTCTTTGTGATTTCATAGATACATGTGCAGTTGCTCATTAAAAGATTAAAAAAAAAGATAGATAAATGTTAGCTATTAGCTATCCTGACAGGACAGGTCTTGTCATGGCAAGCAGTGGGGGCAAGGCAGGGTACACACAGTGACAGACCCTCACACCAGGGCCAGATACCTAGAAATATGTCTTTGGATTGTAGGAGGAATCCCATACAAACTCCACCACAGGAATTGAACCCAGGGCCCCAGCACTGGGAGATAGTCATGCTAACCACTGTGCCACCGTGCCTCCCAGATGCATAATCCTCAAATCCAAATGTTTCTTTGATGTGAAGAAGAGGTTTTAAGTGACAAGATTTCAGAGCTGTGTCTGCACTCTTGAGTACAAAGAGCGTTTTTTGGAGTGTAGTCTCTGCCCCTGATTAAGACTAATGTGGGTTTTCCTCCCCTTAATAAAAGCAAGGGATCCAGACTGTATAATCTTATCTGGGATTGTGAAAATCTGTCAAGCATTTGATTAAGGCAGTTTTTGACATTTGCCTCTTCAGAAGAACATTTGGAAAAGGTTTTGGCCAAGCTCCTCTTGGTTTCCTTCTTTATTGCACTTTTGCTACACGGGGTCGCGGACGCACGCCGCTGAACAAACCATCAATCCTTGCAGGTTGTTTCCATAAGCGCGGCACGGATAAACGGTGACGGCTCAGCGCGGGGGTCTCTCTTTGTTTTCCAAGTCCTGAGCCCCCACCCAGCAGGGGAACCGAGGCAGGAGCTGAGGGGAGCACGCCTTGCGTCTGGTCAGGCCTCCGAGTCGAGGTCCGCACACTGCTCTGCACGGTGTAACCCCACATTCTTTCCACTGTCCCCCTCCCCGGGTTGCCCACACCTGCTCATTCCAGTGTATCTGTGCCGCTTCCTGCAGACGTCAAGTCAAGGAGATCCACTCTCCTTCCCAAAAAGGGGTTCAGAGTGCTAGCTGGTACTGTATGTGGTCTGCTTTTGTGTTTTTATATGCTGTGTATAGTATGTATATGCACTACGCTGGAGCGGGCTGTTATTTCACTCACCCTGGCTGGTCCAGTCTACACATTAACAACCAATGTTGATGTTTATATGGTGTAAGGCACTGCAAGTGAGAGAATAGTTCACACAGTATTAATGCCCGAATATTCAGCTACTGTCGTATTCCAAAAAGGAGAAAAGAAAGAGACAAAAGCTAAAAAAATCAGTTTATGAGATGTAGATGAGATATGCTACTGCGGGTCAGCATATCAATGCAAAGACAGACAACATGTCACATTGAAGCTGAAGCTCAGCAGGCTTGGGCCTGGCCAATAGCAAGGAGGCTGCTGGAAGAGACGTGAGTGGGATCAGTATGGGGCATCATCCAGGTGGGGCTTCACATTGGTGGTGGTAGACCTGTAAAGTGTTTTAAGTGAAGAGTCTGGAATAGCGCTGTAGAAGTGTAATTATTATTATCTTCTTGTTTGCTTCCCTGCATCAGCAACCCACTCTACCTAGTTAATCCGAAACCACCAAGCACTTGTTATTTGCAGCCCCTTGCTCGTCCGTCTTGGTGCTGCAGCCCCACTTCTGTATACTCTTTACTCACTTACTGTGTCTGTCTCCGCTCCTCTCTGATTTAAGATCATTCTGCTCCCCGTTTCCCGTTCCTTGTCTCTCCTTATATCGCTTCTCATTTTGTCCTGTTTGTCCATTTTGTACAGGCTGCCTTCCATTCTCTCCCGCTGTTGGCTTAGTTATTGATATCTTCACACTGCAGTCTGTTGTGCTGCTCCTACTCTTCGCCTGCACCTCTTTAGTGGACCTGGATTGTCAGGAGCATCAAGACTAATCGATTTCTGACCAGCTTCCCAGGCCACCTCAAGACCTACAGTACTTATACAGACTGTATTTCTGGCTCAATAGGGGCAACAAGAATGGAAATATTTCAAGGGCGGAAAGGAGCAGAAATGTGGTAGGAAAACCTGTGGCAATTTTAAGGAAGGCTTTAATAGCTAGAAGTATACTAAAAAAATGCCCAACTGTGAGAAAGTGTCAAGAAGAAGTTGTGTTATTAATGTAGGTGCTTTGAGGTGGAGATTCAGGAGCTGGTGGCAGTCTTGTCAGTGGCAGTGTTGTTTTTTTAGGGTTGTGGGAATGGTATGCCTGTTGTTAGCAAATTTCTGTTCTGTGTTAAAGTGGAGAAAATATTAATTATACCATTAAACATGGGCAAGCATCCCAGATTTGGATTAAGTGGGTGAGTGTGTATTTATTTCACAAAAATCCCGCTTTGGCAGAGAAGCAGCAAGATATTGGGCAGCATTGGCTTTATAGGATGATTAGTATCCAGATGTTGAAGAATAAGATTGATGTTAGGAAACAATTTTTAGGTTGAAAAAAATTGTATAGTACAGAAATCCAGATAAATCTTGTTTTTAAGTGTTGTCGGTCTATGCCATAATCAATCCATATTCTCAAAGAATCAAATTATTCTCTCACGTTAAAAAAAAATCACCACAGTGATTGAAGGGGTCTAGTGTATTTTTGCATAAAAACAATGCATGTAATCCAGCAGCTCCTGTAAATGCTAAAATGGCTTATTGAGAATAAAAAATCTGTTGGCCCAGGGCCCTAACTCTAGATTACTGATAAAAGTCGTCTGAGATCTTTTTCTCATTGGTGTATTCAGTTGCAATAACAGTGGGAAAGCAGACTGGTCACTGGCTTGCCACAGCCAATGTGCACCAGCATAACCCTTTCAGTGGCCTTCTCATTGTGTCTGGGAGGATTCGTAGAGGACCACAGCAAAACACAACTTCAGCTGCCAGGCCTGAGGTTAAAAACCTTCTGAATGTGTGGTGGCGCAGTTCTTCCTGTGCTTCACATTGCTTTAACTTCAGCAGGTTTCCAAAAACAATGGTATTCCATTTCAGTAACTGAAAGCAGGAAGCAAGCAATGCCGTTTCAAAAAGATCCAGATAAACAGCCTTTTGACAGGAGGCATTGCAAATTGCTAATGCTTTAAAAAAAAAAAAATTAGACCGGTTTAGCCATGTAAAATTCCAGGATCCTTGCAGACTATTGAGTATGACAATGCCGAAAAACTGTTTCAACTTGACTGACTGTGATAAGTTCGAAGGAAAAAAAAAGAAACCAGCCAACTGGAAAATGAGATGGGCTGGACTTTAATTGAGTTTGTCTGGTGTGCTGACAGAACCCAGTAGTTCAGTTTTTTTTTTCCACCCATTGGTGTTTAAAATCAAAATAATACTGCAAAACACAAATAAGGATATTTCGTCTGGTGCTCTCTTCCACAATATCTTTTTTTCTCCTTCTATTTTCATAGCCTATTTTTCCATCTTTGGGGACTTGTGGGCTATAATCCCGAAGAATGTTAAGTGAAGTCTGGCTGTTGGACAGCTGTGTGTCAATAAAAGAGTTAGCCATCAAGTAAGTAGTCTAATAGTCAAACAGTTCAGACGAAGGAGATTAGACTGATGGTACAACTGTTTCCACAACCGAGGGACGTTAAGCAAGAGGACTCAATATAATGTTAATTCAAGTCTAAAGGGAAATTGAACCACGCAGTTTGTTTGCTTGGTTTTCTTCACAGAAAATAA